CTTTCCCTCTCCACCTCCTCAAAAAAAACTCCACAGTGCTGGAGGAGAGGGAACCTCAAAAACTGAGGGAAACCCAAAACTTTGATACGAGGCACTTAACAGAACTTGGACTCGATGATCTTAAATGTCTTTTTCAACCAGAATGATTCTGAGAATGAACAGCCAAGCAAGATTTTAAAATGCTGCTAAGATTATAAAAAGTTTTTAAAGAGTGAAGTCTTTTAAAGTGGACTGAAAAGGTTAAGCAGTAAACGTTCTACAGATTAGTCCCTATTTATATACAAAACCCTGGCACCTGCATGGCAATGAGCACAGACAGAAACGTTGCTCATTTTTCAAGCTTTCACAAAAGAAAGTCTGTCTTCTAGAATCAGCTGCACTGTAACACCAGTTCTCCTATTTCTCCCCCACTGCTGGAGACCAACAGATTTACTGAACAGCACTGTAGTACTGAAATAGATTTAAAAAGGTCCATTTCAGAGAAGTGTACTTGAGAAGAGAGACAGGAACCTTGCTAGCAGGTGGAGATAACTCCATGTTAGGCCACATTCTGAGCTGACTCACATCTAAAGATATTCTGCACACTCAACTGTCTCCTGCCCAACCCACTTCCAGATGAGTATCTAGCAGAAGTTCTCTTCTACTCTCCCCATTTTTGAATAAACAGGGCTCTGCCTACCACATTTCCTTCTCCCCCTCCCTCTCCAGCCCCATTTCCAGTGGTGCTGCACTGACAGCACAAAGCCATGCCTGCAGTGTGTGGAACACATGGTGGCTCCAGCAGGAACCAGGAGCCACAGACCTGGAGACCACGAGACCCCACAAGCACAGCCTGAAGCAGAACACAGCCCGGCACCTCCACGGGGAAAACTACCCAGCCCCAGATGGCAAAGGACTGAGAGCAGCCGATCCCACCACCTTTGGTGGCTTTCAGATCCTTCAAAGCCTTACCCTCTTTGGCTTAGGGGGCTCTGGTGGTTTCTTCTCTGCCTTTTTCTCACTCGTTCGCTTGTGGCTGGGGCTCTTCCTGCTCGAGCTGGAGCTGTTGGTACTGGCTTTGGAGCCGTTCTGTTTGCTGTGCCCTCGGTCCTTCTCCCCAGATGACACAGAGGGTTTGGCCACTTTCTTTTTCTTTTTCTGGGGCTGGTCGTAGCTGAGGTACGACTCAAAGGACATTGTAGGTTGTTCAAACTCATCCTCCACTTCCCCCTCCCCAGAATTGGAGGAAAAGCCCACGGACTTTTTGTCCGTGTCGGAGACTTTGCGCTTCCCCTCTGAGGATTTTAAGCTCCCAGAAATCCCCTTTTCTTTGATCTTATTTGATGAGCCGCTCTCAGCTTTCCGTTTCTCCTGCTCTGTGTTAGAGGTCTCCAGGCTCAGCTTGGGCTTTTCCAGTTTGCTTTTTTCAGAGTCTCGATGCTTTTGCTTCTTAACGTGGTTGTCCAAAGGCTCCTCCGAGTGCGTCACCACGTGCAGCTTCTCCTTCTTGGAGCTGCCACTCTCTCGGTTCTTCTCCTTCTTGGTGCCCTCTGACACCTTCTGCTTCTCCTTGCTGCCCCCTGCCACAGGGGCTTCTCGGAGCTGCTCTTTAAAGGAGGCCTTGTGCAATCTTTCTGGGCTGAAGGCAGCAGTCCTGTCCTCTCCTCTGCCGTCAAGTCGCTGCTTCTTGTGAGAAGACTTGTGCTCTTTGCTTCTACTCGTGTTCCCTTTGTCGCAGAACTCAGAGTTCCTCTCCTGGCCTTTTCCCAGCTTCTCCTGAAAGCTGTGGCCTTTACTGGCCTTCCGATGAAATACGGTTGGCTCCTCCTGCTCCTCAGAGGCATATGGGTCTGTGTCCATATCCTGAGGGCTCTCGCTTGGCTCAGGCGACACAGCTTGGCCATAGTCCGAGTACTCCTGATCTGAAGAGAGCACTGGGGAAGATCTGCCCCAACCTTTCCCCTCGTGGCTGCTATAGCCATAAGTCTGATGGGCTCTCTCAGGCCTAGGATACCTTTTGGACTTCTTTTCCCTGTGATCAGGGCTGTAGGACTGGCTGCAAGACGGCTGGAAGGGTTCCGAGTACTCCCCATCAGGCTCCTCATCCTCTCTGAGGGAGGATTCCTGATGTCTTTTGCTTGAGCTGCTCCTCTCGTAGTCACGGTCTTCAGAATCTAGGTTATTTCTAAAGGGATAAGAAAACAAAGTAGTTAGATTAAAACTTCCCAGTATGAATGAAGAGAGCCACTCCCCACGGATGGGAGCCCCTCTTACAGGCAACTAATGCTGCCTTTGGCAGGTCTGTGGTAAAAACACCACTAGTTCTCCCAGGCACAGCAACATTCATGGATTCAGAAACTGCATTTCTAGTGCAGGGATTGATTAAGCATTTGCCTTAATACTAGAGATTTCCTTGGGAAGCACAGAGACAGGTACAGAGACTTCTCTGTGCCTACACACTCCTGGCTGTGTGGTGCCTATGGGAAACATCCCCCAGTTCACCAGTTAAGCATGCAAGGTTGCCACAGCCACTGAAATTATCACCAGTAACTGAGTCTTTAGCACCCACATGGTCTTGCTGCTTTGTTCAACACAGTTTTGTTGCTGCAACACCCTGTAACTTTCGGTTTCCCTAGGATTTCTGCACATAAAAAGCCTCCTTTCAAAGCAAGCCACTTCCTTTCCTTGGGCCTAGAACTTCCTCTCTTAGCTTCATAAAACGGAAAGCAGATTGCATCTCTTGCTTCATTAGGGGCACTTTTCTGGCATCTCCTGTTAATCTCTTCATCAGGCTGCAAGTTCTTGAGAACTGGCCCCTACTTCCACACAGATCTCAGCTGTCAGCAGCTCGACACTCTGCAGCTAGCAGAGGCAGGAGGTTGATGCCAGAAATGAGGCAAAAACCCCACGCAGAGTTAGCAGGCTTGTGTCACAAGTTTTTCCAGAGCATTCACTTTCCTTCCTTGGCCAGAGAAGTTTATCATCTCCACTGAAAAATACAACAGGGCTGATCCATCAAGAGACCCAAACAGGTTCACCCACCTGTCTGCCTCCTGGGACACTGGCACCAGCTTCTTCCACCTGGCTACGAGGTTCTTCGCAAAGTCTCCCACCAGCTCGTGTTTCCTCAAGCTGTTCACAGTCTTCCCAACACCCGTTTCCTTCAGGAGAGAGCCAAGACAAGAATTCACCTCAGCAAAGCAGCCAGCGTGCTCATCTCTGCTGAAGTCAGCTGAGTTAACCTGCTGCTGGGTGGGAAACTTCCTCCATCTGACAGCAAAGGTGTCACCCTTCTGTGAATCAAAGCCTGAACTCTGCCCTAGTCAAACACTATTTGTATTAATACATATTAATAGTATTTACCACGACTGTTGGCAAGCTTCAAGACATAAGTCACTAATAATTTTAAAGGATTAGCACTTCCTAATTTCATGCTGATTCAGTTATCACTAAGTACTGCTCCAGCTCTTGTAACCTGCTTATGTATTCAGGTTTTGGAAGAACTGAGCCTTACAAACTCCCCTCCATGGCTTCACACCTTGATATGCTTCTTCCCTGTGCCTGGAATCTCTTGAACCTCATCACCACCTCTCCTGGGGCTGTAGCAGGTGGCCAAGACAACCCACCCCCTTCCCAGGAGAGCAGCGTTCCCCTGGCAAACAGTCACCCTGGGACCTGACAGACCCAAGGAAAGCATTTCACAGCTCTTACCACAAGAATGTCAACGGTGATGGGCAACTCAGACAGCCTCTTCAGACTTTTCAGCAGCTGCAGAGACAAGGAGGAAGGTGTTCAGACTTGTCCTACTGAACTACATACTGCGTGCGTGTAGATAGGAAGAAAATTCTGCTCTGCAGGAGAGCTCGTTAGAAAGATCCAAGTGGCAAAGAGCTCGTTAGAAAGATCCACGTGGCAGACTGGATCCAAATCAAGCTCCTGAGAAGCTGGCCACGAGGGCCAACTCTAAAGAGATTATCATCTCTTTGCCTGTGAGGGTCCACTTGAGAACCTTCAAATGCACTCCAATATTAATGCTTTCTTCACACCTGACTGCAGCTTAACCTTGGCTTAAAGCATCAGGAGCAGGCAGCCACAACTCTGTGGCACAGCAAGTGGAACACAGGACTCAGAAGCTTGTGGCTCTCAGAAGGTGGTGTTGAAAGTCCCAACATTTGTTGAGAGGAGAGGAAAAAGTGTTAAGAGTCTTTTCTGAAGCTTTGCAAGCTAGATGCTGAAGGAAGAAAGATTTCTAGATGCTTGTGAAGATCTCAGAGGGAACCCATCTCCCTTGCAGACCCTCTGCTGTGCCAGCCCCTCTCCTCTCAGTGCCAGAAAGGCAACTGACCCCATCCACAGCCACTGCCCCTTGCCCCACACCAGTGCCTGTTCCTTCACACAGCCCCTGCCTGCAGGCACGGCCGTTCCACTGCCCGGGCAGGGCAGAGGAGCCCAGCGAGGGGCTGTGGGTGAGGGGGACGTGCCTGGAGCTCTGCCACCCAGTGCCAGCTGCAGGGCAGCCCCATCAGCGTTCCCATTCTCACAGCCCCTGCCCAGCCCAGCCTTGCTCAGCACTGCTCTGCCACAGGCTGCACAAAGGCCCAGCCCTGATCCAGATCTCCTCTTTAAAGCGCTGTGCTCGTGCTCAAATTAGCACTGCCAGGCTAAGCTACTTCAGTCACCCCCAATTCCACCCTGGGAGGATCAGAGAGGTTTAGAGGTTTCCTTTCTTTGGAAGGAAATAAGCTCTTCTCTTTTTTAATATTTTATTATCTTTTCTGTTTGAAAAGCACTACTACTTTCAGAGAGATAAGGCTTAAGCAGAACCACAGGACAGCTTCTGTTCACCAGAAACCACTGTCCTGTCTCCATTCTATTTAGGACTTCATTGCTGTGACCAAAAGTTTTGGTTTTCTTTTTTATTTTAGAAGAGTGAAACACTGACACCAACAGTAAGGGTGTGTTTCAGTACTCTTCAGCTGGAGGATGCAACAGCTCCAGGGCCTCTGTATGTGCAGCTCCAAGCTTGGAGTGGAGTCTCCCCCAGGATTCATAGGACCTGAGGCAGGTGATGTGCTCCTACCTCAACTGAAGGTGCAGAAAGAAAGCAGCTGAGCTAAAAAATCCAGACGTTTGTTTAGTCTTCTAAAGTGCTGTTACTTTGTCAGCACTGCTGTTTGACAATCCCACTGGCCAGCAAAGCCATGAAAGCAGAAGCAGAGACACAGCCCACCTCCAGCTGCCAGGGCAAGGCCTGCTAGGATTCCTCCAGGAAGCCAAGATCCTTCTGGCATTGCTGACACAGGGGTTTGGAGTACTGAGCATGAAGGCTCTGCTTGGAAGGGGACACAAAGGGAGGGGAAGGAGGACAGATCTTGTACTAGATAGAGAGTAAAACATTAATAAAAATCAAAAATATTAATACCACCTCTGTAAGGTGATTACCTTCCTAGAGAGGTTGTTCCAGAGCTTACAAACCCCCCCAGAAGAGTCAAGGGAAAACCCACTGTGGTATCCTTAAAGCCTCCCACTCATTTTCTAGCTACACCCCACTATAGCATCCTCCACAGCTCTTTTTGCTCTTTAGTTATGTGTTGCCTTCAGGGCTGAATTCCAAGAAGAAAAGGGCTATTCTCAGCAGAGCTCATCTCTGGATTTTGTACGGTGTGGTTTGAGAGCAGGGGACCCACGTGTCTCATCCAGAACACGTCTCATGGGGAGCTGGCTTATTCCACACCCACTGCAGTCAGCAGTTGGAATCCTCCACACATCTTAACCCCCTCCCCAAAAGCTGGCTTTCCCAGAGGCCACCATACACCTATTTTTACCAAAGCTTCTACACCTGCACGTTCACTAGGAGTGCCACTGAGTCCAGCCCTTCCCTGCCGAGCTGTGAACCTCAAACCAATGCTCTCAGGAAACGTGGCAGTTTCATTACCTGTGTCACCAGAACCACGCTCATCTGACAGTCTAAGCTGTCAAAACCTGTGCTTGCTGATGCTCATCAAGTGCCCCACAGCCTGGCAATATCCAAGCAGGGACAGATTTGGGAGCTGTGTTCATCCAGCACAGCCAAACCTCACTTTGCTTGCAACCTCTGTGGATCACTGCTGCACCTCCACGAGGCAACCAGTGCAGTGAGGCTGAAGAACTTGTCCAGATCTGTATTTCCTACAGAAAGGGGCTGATGGAGGACACCCCACTGCCTTCATCTGAAATCAGCCAAGCAAATCTGGCAGCTCATCTCAGAAATGACTGAGATCCTACATGTCCTGTGAGAGACAGTTGACCAGGTAGAAGATGGAAAGCACAAGGCTCCTACCTGGCCAGACACCAGATAAAGCTCCTGAAACACCCCACCATGGGGCAGAGTTTCAGTCAATCAGCCACAAGATTCAAACCATAAAAACTTCCCTTAGTTCCAGCTCCAATAAAGTTTTGTTTAATGTGGGTGGATTGTTTTCTTTTTCAAAAAGAATTCAGCCAGACCATTACAGCACAAACAGCACACACTAAACTACCACAGCCCAGCCTCTTCCTCATGTTCCCCTCACTCCTGCAGCAGAGCCTGGGCCTCCTCTGTTGGAAAAAAAACAAACCCATTTCCAAACCATTACAGCAGTGTCCAAAGTTCCACTCATACAGTTTTGAGCCAGCAGCCCATTTTTCACCCAAAACCAGTATTAGGGCTCTTTAGCAAGGCAATATTGAGTCGTGTGGGACCCTGGGCAAATATTCTTCTGCCACACTAGTGCTAAAATATTTCAAAAGGACAAGGCAAGAACACTGAAGGCTGGAAATGGGGCAATGTGTGTGCAGCACCCAGAGGTGCTGCAGATTTCTCCTGCTGACAGGGTGAAGTGTAGAACTGAAGTGGAAACAGTGACAGCAGAAGAGCCAAAAGCCATTTTCTGGCATAGCAAGGTGCTCAGAAAATACAATCTAAGTCAAGCCTGAAAACATTAACGCTTCTGAGGGTGTAGTTGGAAAGACATTAAAAATGAAAAAAAGTACAGAGCATGGGAGCAGGAAAAGGTTTAAAGTCACCACCCTGCTGCAGAGCATGGGGGATGGATAAAGAAAGCAACACTTCACACCACAGGGTCACGGAGGAAGAGTCAGCCTGGGCAAAGGGGGCCTGAAGTCTTGCATGTGCTCCTGGCACCGTGGAGCCCAGCACCTCGCTGGATGTGACTCCTCTCAGCAGCCCCATGGCCCCACTGGTTAAACTCTGCTCTGTCCTTGGCTGAAAGGGTGAGAAAAGGAACCAGCTCCTCCTGTTGCTTCTCCCCCTGCTAGGCTGGAGCTGGGTACAGGGGCCTCCGTGTCAAAGGGCGAGGACTCAGGGCGAGGACTCGAGCCCTTCAGGACCCGTCCTCCTCCCCGGGGAGCCTCGGGAAGCGAGCGGCTCCGGGGGAGCTCATCGCGGCTAAACAAAACTAGCCGAGCGCAGAGCGGCTGCACGGCCCCCGCTGCCTCCTGTCACCTGAATGGAGTGAAACACGAGCCCAGCGCACCAGCCCAGAGGGCGAGATAACAGCCTGCGCTGGGCCCACACCTCAGCTCAGCCCTAACGCCACACTCCAGCTG